AGGAAGAGAAGGACTCAGAAAAGCAGAGAAGGCAGGTGGGGGTTTAGAGCAGTTTTTTTTTAAAAAAAACTTTTAGCTGCTGAGGGCCAATACAGCAACTTTCAGAAAATGTAGGGACACCCAATTAAACAAACACCCTCCTTTTTCTTCATGGCCACATTAACATGCTTTGCTCCAGTCCTTAGGCTGGCAGAAAAGTAATAGAGGACAAGTTACAAAAGTAAGTGCTAGATTCTCCCAGTTTTGTTTTTCTTTCCTCCCTTCAACTGCACCTGCTGGCAAAGGGTGAAAAAAAAATTGGCCCAGCAATTGGTTCCTTATCATGAAGTTGGGTGGGCCTGGCAAGTGTCGCTTGGTGTCTGGAACGGTGGGTCACCTGAGTGACAGGTCACAACTGCTCCCTCCCTGTGAACTGTCAAGTGGGCTGTCTCTGAACATGACTCCAGCAATATTATGTGTCCAAAAATAGCCTGGCTGACAGGACACAGAGATGGAAGAGGTGCACCGTGAGACAGCATGAGACCTGATGGCCAACATGGAAGAGGGACTGAGAAGAACCCCCTTCCACTTCATTCCACGCCCCTCTCCTGCACCTGAAACCTGGGCAGCTGGGCTATTTGTAGACACAAGTTCAGTGCTCTTTTGAAAGAGTGCCAGAGCCATGTTCAGAAACGGCTCGACTGACTGGGAACAGACTCAGTCCTCGGGGAAGGACTGCAAGGATCGTTGGAGGTTCTCCCTTCAGCTTCACACCACGCCCCTCTTCCTTGCTCTGAGCTGTCAGTTGGACTAGCTGTGCAGAGGAAGAGAGGGGTGTGAAGCGGGAGGGAACAATAATGCTTGCACTTAGCACTGCAAAAGCATGGCAAGGGTGGCAGTGAGGGCAGTGCCTGGCAGCACCAACAGAGCCCATGGAGTAGGCAAAGTGGAGCTTTAGATTAATATTTGGTAGTTCAGCCTTAACAGTGCCCCAGTAACTAAAGACATCTTCCTTGTCTGAGTTGAGATACTCTTCACACATGCTCGTGTTTGCAGAAAGCTACGCCAGCATGAGATTTGCTGGTCTGTGCCAGTTACCGTCCTGCCTCTGTTGCCAGTCACAGCCTAACAGATTTTGCACACCTAGGAGAACACCAGAATCAGGGAGAAAGGGTCACATTAGCACCAGGACAGCTAGGAATGACTTCAGGCTGGAGATGAGATGAAGGCTGTATCTACCATGGGGACACAACTGAAAAAAAAGTGGGGGCACGTCAGGTGTGAGTGAGAAAGGCAGATGAGCCATTGCAGATTCTCTTGACCTTTCTGAGCAGTGTGCTCAGGGGAGGGAGAGGTACAGTGGGGCTGCCCCCAAGGTGGTAAAACCCCTCCCTCTGTGCCTGCTTGCTTAATCTTTCTGCTGCAAGCAATGGGTCCATCCTCCCTGTCTTACAGCAAGAGGGAGCAGCAGCTACTCCCACACGGTGAGCAATCCCAAAAGAGTAGCCAAGGGGGGAGACTACTCCACCTCGCCCTCCTCCCCCCCGTCTCTGTCTTACTCCAGCTTTGGTCCTATTTATTTAAGACATCCAACAAAAGCCTTGCTACAGGTTTGCACCCCTGAATTGTCCACCCCCTCGCATTTTCTGACTACTTCGCTAAAGTTGCAGCCTACGTCCCTCTCCCTTCCTCCTCCCAAACCGGGAAAAAAAGGAGACGCAGGGAAGGGGAGACGTGGCTGGTGACCAGAGGCGGTGGAGGCATCAGAGGAAAGAGGAGGAGCCGGAGGGCGCCCGGGCAGTGGGCTCGCTCCATCGCCGCGTCTTCCCGGTTCTGCCGGGCGCAGGCGTTGGCCGCCAGGGGGCAGCACAGAGCGCGGCAGGCAGGATCGACTTCCCCGCTTCGTCTTCTCGCCCGGTCAGTCGGTCCGGCGCTTCACCCTCATCCTGGGCAGGGAGCCGAGCTGGGGGGCGACTCCTGCA